AAGACACGGACGTTAAACCTTTTCTCGGAAACATACACACACACACTGCCCTGACCGTCGGCTGACAGCCTGTGCCGCAAGGTCCGACATAGGTGGCCTCTAGGGGGAAGGAGGAGGTCACGCCGCTACCGCCGATGGTTGCGTTTGGCGACCCGAAGCGTCCAACACCACAGAGGGGGGCACGGGCCCTGCCACTGGTGGTACGCCCACGGCGTCCAGAAAGGCCACTGCAGATGCGGCGGCCAAGTCTGCTGCACCTGTGAATGGTCACGTCGATGCCAGGAACGGGATCTATGGGCCGAGGAGGCTTCCGAAGACCCCAACCTGAGGGATGTCGCATCGGAATCAGACGAATAATCGGACTCTGGCCAGGGAGGTGCTGACGAGGAGTGGGGGGCAAACCTAGCCATGGACTCGGGGCTTGCTGGCAGGTACACGGCGGGGATGTGCCGATGCCTGTTGCGGCACCAGGGGACCCAGGCCCAGTGCCGAGAGAGTTGTTGGCACCTGCGGCACCGGGGGACCCAGGCCCGGTGCCGAAAACAGTGTTGGCACTGAAAGAGGTGCCGGGAGGCCCAGTCCCAGTGCCAGTTGCATCACCGGTGCAGAGCATGGCGGTGTCGAGACGAACCTGGAGGAGGACCACATCACTGTTGGCTGGGGTACCGGCAAGGTCCACATGGTCGGTGCCGGTGCTTGCGACGGTGTCGAGAAGTGCGTCAGTCCCGAAGAGCCCGGTGCCGACGAAGGTGACGGTGCCGCAGACGTTGCCACAAGGCTAGGGTGGTACGGCACCGGTGCAGCCAAATGAGGAGCCGGGAGAGAGCCCAGCACCAATGGGGGTCGAACCCAGTTGGGTGCCGAGTGAGGCTTAGGCGTCAATAACTGCGTCGATGCTGAGGCAATCGGTACCGGTCCCACGAGGGACGGTCCCGATGCGTAAGGTGCCTGAGCCTGCCAGTCATGCCGGTGCGGAGGCGAAGCCAGAGCCAACACGGCCTCTGGCGTGGGTGACCTCGACCCTTCTTCCTCAACCGACGACGGAGGGGAGGTGGTGAGACAGATGAGCTCCTGTGCCGCCTCAAATGTGTCCGGCATGGACGGGCGGTGTGGGGGCAATTGCCCTGGACTAGAGGGACGTTCCGCTCGCTTACACTGCACCGTAGAGTATGTGCGCACCCGTGAGTCAGTACCACGGTGCAGACCTGACGTGGTTTTCCAAGATGGGGACCTCCCGTGAGACTTTTTCAACACTGAGGCTTGGGCCCGAGGCAGGACATCCCACGTGGACGCGACGCACTGCGCACCATGGGGTGGCCAGTTGGTACCGGCTATAAAGCCGTTTCCATGAGGAGAATTTTTAGGCGGGAGACCATCACTCTTTTAGTGCGCAGCTTGAAAGACTTATAGATCTTACAGGCGTCTGCGAGGTGGCTCTCACCCAGACACTTCAGACAGCTGTCATGTGGGTCTCCTTTGGGCATGAACTTTGCGCAGACAGCGCACGCCTTAAAGCCTTGCGGCCCTGGTATTCCTCCCCCCCAAAGGGGGAGGAGGAACAAAGGACAAAGGAGACACTAACTACCTAACTAATAGAACTATTTACAATGCTAAGAGAGAAACGGGAACCATTAACTAAGCTAAGAGAGACACACGCTCCAACGACCATCACAGGTGGTAAGAAGGAACTGAGGTGAGAAAGCGCCGGCAGGGGTACTTATGCCCCGCCATGGTGGCGCCACTCGTGGTACTTATTCCCCGCCATGGCGGTGCCATTCCAGGGGGCGCCCTGCCAGTGCTATGGGTACCGCTAGGGAAAACGCTCAGGAGGATGTGGTACACGCAGTGCGCACACCTAATTCGAATGGACATGAGGAACCACTAGAAGAAGAACTAAGCTCCCTCACAGGCACTGAGGTACACAGAAAGATTAGACTATTCCATTCATGGGCTTCCTACCATGGCTTAGCTGGTGCCTCTCACTCCTGACACGCAACCTCTCCTCCAATTTCAGCCTTGGGCTCAAAGCCCCAGCTCTGACAGTGCTCCTCAGCCCAAATCCACTGCCCCGCTTCCAGCTAAACGGTGCCATTTAGCACTGCACTGGGGCCAGCACGAACTGCCCAGAAACAACCTCCCTCACCCCTAGCTCCCTGAAGCACAACACTCTTTACCATTACACTGGGGCCAGTATTGACTGCCCTGGAAAAGCCCTGGGCCCTGCTCCCTGCAGCACAGCACCTCTAATGCTGCACTGACGACCAGGAGAGCACCTCTTGCTGAGCCTATGCCCCATTCCCTCTGCACTCCCAAGAACCTTGGGGCGCTTCTCGATCCAGGAGTGGACATAGGGTTTCCAGCCCAGGTTACTGTAGTCTGTGTAGACCATTCCACAGCGGGAGACAGTAGCAGGTGAGGCCACCGCTAGGTTCTCCACCTCGAAGAGCAGCGAGACCTAAAGATGGTACAGGATGAGTCAGTGCAGCACGCTGCCTCTCTGGCCATGGCCCAGATGGTCAGGACAGCGCCCAGAGGGACTTACTTGGTCAGGCATGGAGATGCGCTCCCCGTTGATCAGGGTCAAAACTTTGTTGTCGTCCATCACTGAGTTCATGCTCTCAATCCACAGTGTGTCCACTGGCCCATCAAACAGGATCCACTTCTCATCCGGCTTCTCGTCTAGAGGGGTGGGGAAAGTGGGGGAGCCCCCTAGTGCTCAGAAGGAACAGCACAGGCCACTTCCCATTCTTGCCCCAAACTTCTGCCTTCCAGCCCTCTCTGCTATCCCCCTCTCCTTCATCAGCTCCTGTTGCCCTCAGGCTGCCTCTGCCTCCCTCTGCAGCACTACTAAAAGATCCTGGGTGTTGCTGGGACATGAGATGAAATGGAACAGGGCTGCGAGTCAGAAGTGGGGGGAACCAGCAGAGCTGAGGGGAGAGCCCAGGGCAGGATTGTTAGGGGCTGCAGGTGGGGAGTGAAGGGTACTGGCAGAGCTGGGGGAGCCCAAAGCTAGATGAGCAAGGACTGCAGGTGTGGAGTGAGGGGCACCAGCAGAGCTGGTGAGGAGGGGGTTATGGGTAAGGATGTTAAGTATCGAGTAACTGATTAATCGAATAGTCGATGCATTTTGCATCGACTGTTCAACAGGGCACCTCCACCTATGAAGTGAGGCAACAGCTGTAGGACTGTTGCTAGACTTCAAAGAAGGAAGTGCCGTATGGAGCCCTGGATCAACTGGGAACTCCCCTGCTGACCCTAGGCTCCATGCAGTGCTGCTGCTTTAAGACGCCGTATCGGCATTTCAAAATGGCAGTGCCACACAGAGCCCGGAGTCAGTGGGGGAGTCCCCAGCTGATCCCGGGCTCCACATGGCGTTGCCGCTTTGAAACGCTGCGAGGAGCCTGACACTGGGCTCCCAAAAGTATTTCAAAGCAGCAGCACTGCACGGAGCTGAGGGTCAGCTGGGAAGTCCCCCGCTGATCCTGGGCTCCCCACGGCACTTTGAAATGTCGCACGCAACCTGGGGACACCCCAGCCAGCCCCAGGCTGCAAATGGCTTTTCAAAGTGGCAGCGCCACGTGGAACCTGGGGTCTGCCACTTGGAAGTACCTCCTCTTTCCCCACGCTCCTTTTCTGCCTCCATCTGATAAGGCATAAGGAAAGAGACCAGACAGAGTTGGTGGGATGGCAGGAACCATGGGGCAGGCCACAGAGGTTCTAGCCATGGAGCACAGAAGTCAGCCCAGCCTATCCAATGGTGGCACAAAAAATGCAGGCAGAGCTGCAGCAGCAGCATGGAAGGGGCTATGCGAGTGGGTGCCCTTCACCTAGCAACAGCAGTTGGCAGCGGGGTCTGCAGAGGAGAACCCAAGGGAAGTACCTGCACAGACCTGGTACATGAGGGGAGCCACAATCCCAAACAATGCCCACAGCTTAGGGCTCTGGGGCTGAGGGGAACTTTGGCAAGGCCCAGGGGGGCAGAGGCCATTGCTATGGTGAAGATAGGCTGCAAGGGACTGGGGCCAGCCCCGGGAGACTGAACCCACAGGCACTCACACTGCTACATGTGTAAGGTGAGTAAGCACACACCCACACAGGCACAGCGGGCAAGAACACACACTGCCACACATGCACATTGGGTAAGCATGCATGCACACACACACACACACACACTGCCACACGTGCACAGTGGGCGCGCACACACATATACCGCTATATGTGCACAGCAGACAAGCACACTCACATTGCCAAATGCACAGCAGACAATGACACATGCACACAGCCACAGGTGCACAGTGGACGAGTAACAAATACACAAACACATGCACAGCAGGTGAGAACACGCACACAGTGCTGCATGTGGATAGCGGGCAAGCACAAATGCACAGAAGGCAAGCACACGTACATATGGCCACACATTCATAGTGGGTAAGCACACACTGCCACATATTCATGGCAGGAGACCATACACACATACTCCCATATGTGCACAGCGGACAAGAACACACACACATATGTACTGCCACACTCGCACAGAGGTTGAGCACACACACTGCCACACGTGCATGGCAGGCAAGCACAAACCCACAAACACAACCTCACGTGCCTGGCAGACAAACACACATATACACGTGTGCACAGTGGGCAAGCACACACACAAGAAGTGCATGGCACACTTTCATAGACACACGCTGGTGCATGCTCCCTTGCACACCCATGCCTGGGGGAAGCACTCAACGAGTGAGAAGTAGGGCTCACCTTGCATGGCCATTCAGTCCCAGCCCGCCTGCAGGCAAGGGGGGGGGGCATCCTGTATCAGTGGCTGGATCCAGGCTGAGGCATGGTCAAGCAAATGCCCATCAGCTGTGTCCTGCCCCCACACTGGGCATGGCCTACCCACTCTGAACATAAGAACAACCATACTGGGTCAGACCAAAGATCCAGCTAGCCCAGTATCCTGTCTTCAAACAGTGGCCAATGCCAGATGCCCCACAGGGAGTAAATTGAACAGGGAATCATCAAGTAATGCCTCTCCTGTCATCCATTTCCAGACAAACAGAGACTAAGGACACCATTCCTACCCATCCTGGCTAATAAGCCATTGATGGACCTAAACTTTTTTTTTTTTGAACCCTGTTAAAGTCCTGGTCTTCACAACATCCTCTGTCAAGAAGTTCCACAGGTTAACTATACACTGCGTGAAGAAAAACTTCCTTTTGTTTGTTTTAAACCTGTACCTATTAATTTCATTTGGTGACCCCTTAGTTCTTATATTATGGGAACAAATAAATACCTTTTCCTTATTCGCTTTTTCCACACCAGTCATGATTTTATAGATCTTTATCATATCTACCCTTAGTCTCCTCTTTTCTAAACTGAAAAGTCATAGTCTTTTTAATTTCTCTTCATGTGGCACCCGTTCCAAATCCCTAATCATTTTTGTTGCCCTTCTCTGAATCTTTTCCAATGCCAATATATCTTTTTTGAGATGAAGCGACCACATCTGTACGCAGTATTCAAGATGTGGGTGTACCGTAGTTTTATATAGAAGCAATGAGATATTCTCTGTCAAATTCTCTATTCCTTTTTTAATTATTCCTAACGTTTGCTTTTTTGACTGCTGCTGCACACTGAGTAGATGTTTTCAGAGAACTATCCACAGTGCCGCAAAGATTTCTCTCTTGAGTAGTTGTAGCTAAATTAGTCCCCATCATATTGTATGCATAGTTGGGATTATTTTTTCCAATGTGAATTACTTTACATTTATCAACATTAAATGTCATTTACCATTTTGTTGCCCAATCACTTAGTTTGCTGAGATCTTTTTGAAGCTCTTCACAGTCTGCTTTGGTCTTAACTATCTTGAACAATTTAGTATCATCTGCAAATTTTGCCACCTCACTGTTTACCCCTTTCTGCCCACCACGATCAGCTGTATCCTGCCCCATGAGCTTGGCCTAGCCCCCCCAACCTTGGCCCACCCTCTTTGCCCACCCCATCAGCTGTGCCATGCCCCAAGCACAGCCCATCCCACTCTGACCACCCCTATTAGCTGTGTCTAGGGATGTTAAATTTAGGTTAATTGGCTAATTGAATAGCCGATGCAATTTGCATCAACTATTCGATTAGTTGATAAGGGCACCTCCACCTTTGAAGTGTAGCAACAGCCTCAGGGCTGTTGTTACACTTCAAAGGTGAAAACGTTGCAGGGAGCACGGGGCTAGCAGGGGACTCAAACAGTCGCATTTCAAAGCAGCAGCGCTGCATAGAGCCTGGAGTCAGCTGAGTCTCCAGATGACCCTGGGCTCCATGATGCACTGCTGCTTTGAAACACCGCGTGCAGCCTGAACCAGTTGGGGACTGCTCAGTTGGCCCTGGGCTGCACGCAACATTTCAAAGTGGCAGCGCCACATGGAGCCTGGGGTCAGCCGGGGAGTCCTCAGCTGACCCTGGGCTCCATGATGCACTGCTGCTTTGAAACCCTGCATGGAGCCCAGGGCCAACTGGGGATTCCCAGCTGGTCCCAGGCTGCACGTGGCGTTTCAAAGCAGCAGACCCCAAGCTCCACGCAGCACTGCTGCTTTGAAACACCGCGTGCAGCCTGAACCAGTTGGGGACTGCTCAGTTGGCCCTGGGCTGCACGCAACATTTCAAAGTGGCAGCATTGCGTGGACCTTGGGGTGTGGCCCTGGGCTCCACGTGGTGGTGCTGCTGCTTTGAAGCAGCCCCTCCTCTTCTAATAGAGGCAGCAAGGGGTAGGGAAACAACTAGTTGGTCGACTATCCAATAAGTATTTGCTTATTGGCGAGTCAACTAGTAGTTCACATCTCTAGCTATGTTCTGCCCCCTGGGCACGACCCACCCCCATCTGTCCATCTCCTCGCTGTCACTCCAGGCCTTGGCTCCACTCAGTACCTGCACAGGCTGTCCGCATGACACTAGACAGGATGCCGTCTGTCCACTCATTGGTGCTGAGGTCATACTCTCCGTACAGCTCGCCCAGGGACACAGCCTTCGGGTTGAGGGGGAAGTCCTGCCATTCCCAGATGCCAGCCAGAGTCACACAGAACCAGGACAGAGAAGCACAGGGATGCCACAGGAGCAGGAAAACACAGCGTAGGGAACAGTCAGAGGGGACGGGAAGCTGAGGACTCCTGCCCTGCCCCCCAAGGACCCATTCAGGCAGTGCCCCAGAGGGACTGCCGCCAAGGACTGGAGATGGTGGAACTTTTGGGAGGCCCCATCCCTCCACCCATGAGCAGAGCAGTTTCAGGGTTGTATGCGGGAGGGGCACCCCAAGGAGCAGGCCCCAGGAATGGGCAGTGCCCACTGACCCTGACGAGGTTGTAGGTGGTGTCCCCATTTCGGCACAGGGTTGACATGGTGGCCTGCAGTGTGCGCCAGGTGACTGTCTTGCCACTGCCTGTGTTGCCCACGATCATGGTGGAGTGGCGAGAGTTCTTGGTCTCGTAGAGCTGGATAACCTTGGTCATGGTGAAGGGTGTTACCTGAAGCCCCATCTCCTTCAGCTCCAGCTCAATGGCTTCCTTGAGCTGCCGAGACAGGACTGTCCTGAGTGACTGGCCCACAGAGGGAGACCATAGCCTGGAACTGCCAACACCAGCAGCCAAAGGCCAGAACAACAGATATGCCTGGCCTGAGGTCACTGGCACTGGCCTGCCCTCACCAGCCCTGAGCTTGGTGCCCACAGGCACCCAGAGGGTCATGCTACAAAGCATGGCCTCTCCTGGTCCCCCCGCCAAATTATACACATTCAGCAATGTCCTCAGCAAGTCCAACTATCCCCATACCACAGATGGGAGAAACTGAGGCATGGGGAGATCAGAGAGAGAAACCAAAATCCTGCCAGAACCCTTCCCAGAACCAGGGGGAGAACCCAGGAACCCTGGCTCCTATTAGGGATATAAAGTGTCATTTAGAAAGTAGCTCAGGTATGGCCAGCCCACCGGTTAACTGGTTACTGGTAAGCATTACCCAGTCTGTTACCCTTTTCTATCCTTATTCCCTTCCCAGCTCTAATCACTAGTCATGACTCCCCTCCTTGAGTTCTGGCCCCACTATCCCCCACACCCCTCCCCAAACTGGGAACACAACCCAGGAACCCTGGCTCCATGCCCCTTGCTCTATGAAAGGAAAGCCCTCAGCAAAGCCCCCAGCTGAATGCCAGGGGCCAGCTAGTCGATGCCCGGGAAGAGGTCCTGGATAATGCCGTTGAAGAGGGGCACGTCGATCGAGGCAAGCTTGGCGATATTCATGTCCTTCATAGCCATGAGGAGAATCTGAAAGCCACCAGGAGAGCCAGGTAAGGTGGGCACCCTCAGGTGCTGCGCAACCTTCACACCCACTGGCTGGCACACTGAATGCCGCACTCCAAGCAGCCAGCAAAACTCCCCTCTGGCACTGAGCGCCCAGGCCTCCCTCAGCTTCTCCAGCACCAATGGGACTAGAGATGAGTGCAGGGCCCCAGGGCACCTCACCTCTTCGTCAGTGATGTTGGGATGCACCCTGCGCTTCTTCCCAGCATAACGAAGCAGTGACGTCAGTGCCCGCAGCCCAAAGTCATAGTGATCCTGCTTGGACAGCTGCTGCACCGCCAGTGAATACAGGGTAAAGACCTTCTTAGCCAGGAGCTAGGAACAAAGCACAGCCCATCAGCAGGCAATGGGGGGAGAGGGGAGGTGACAGCCAGAGGTGCTGCACTAAGCTTCAAGAGTATGGCATCTTCTTCAGAGTCCTGGCAAGCCCCAGCTCACCCCAGGCTGCAGCACACTAGATTGAGAGAAATATGCTTTTACCAGCAGGGAAAGGCCCTGATAGCCATCCCCTGATCCTCATCTAACCACTACTGCTCCAGCCTGGGGCTATGCCAGAGCCAACACAAGCAAGAACAGAACTCCTCCAACCCCGCCAGCTGATTACCCAAGCCTGGGGTGGGTGGAAGCCTGTGCCCTCTAGAGGGGACATGCCCTATGCATCATTTTCCACTCCCTGAGCCAGCCAGTCCCTGCTCTGGGGCTAGATGGGAGCAAGTGCCCCCTACACAGACCCCATGCTCCACATTCCCTGCCCTCCCCCCCGCCAGCCAGCCAGCCAGCCAGCCCCTGTCCTGGGGTTGGGAGGGAGCTGGCACCCCCTAGAGGGGAAAGGCCCTGTGACCTATTCTCTGAGCCATCCAGTCCCTGCCCTAGCTGGGACTGAAATTAGTAACCAGGACATGAACACTCCCAGCCAGGCCAATTGTCAGAGCCACTGGCCATGGGTCGGCAAGTACCTTACAGTTGTTAAAGCCTTCTCCAAAGAGGATTATCTCTGCAATGAGCGTGGAGTCAGGCACCACCATGGAGATGGGGCGGAACATGGACTTGAGGTTGTCAGGCAGCTCCGTCCGTCCGGCATAACCTGCCCCAAAACCCCAGCAATACATTAGCTCTTGCCATCTCCACTCCACAACATGTGCCCCACCCCAGGCCAGGGACGGGCTGGTCTAGGGTTCTTCCCTAGTGCCATCATAATGGCAACTGGGGAGAGGCTTCCATGTCTGAGCCAGTGACTCAGCCAGTGAGGGGAATGGCAGGAGTCCCACCTGGGTTCATGGTGATAAAGATGCCACAGGACCACACCAGCTTGATCTTATGGCCCTCAAATGTGAATGAACTCATGTTGGCAGCCAAGGCGGACAGGATGGAGAGGATCTGCTGGGCCACCACAGACAGGACTTCAATGTTGATGCGGTTGAACTCATCAAAGCAGCCCCAGGCCCCTGTCTGTGAGCGAGAGCAGGAAGGTGAGAGGGGGCTGTGACAAATAAGGTTCTTCCGCCACACAGTACCCCACCCCTACCTGTCTCCCTCTGTTCTGGAGAGACCTGGGTATAGGGTTCTGTGTGCACTCGCAGGCCTGCAGCCATAGCCACCTTGTTCTCAGCAAGTGTCTGATCCCACTCAGTGTGTTTTGTGTGTCTGTCCTCCTTGGGTTCAAATTACTTATGCTGTGAACAAAGCCCAGACCCCCGAGTTCTGTTCCCAACTCTGTAAGGAGAGTGGGTTCTAGTCATTTAGAGCAGAGTGGCAGGACACCTGAGTTCTGTTCTTAGCTCTGGGAGAGAAATGGGGTCTAGGAGCTAGAACATGGGGGCTGGGGCAGGACACTTGGGTTCTGGTCCCAGCTCTGGGAGAAGAGTGAGGTCTAGTGGCTAGAATGCATGGGTTCTGTTCCTCGTTCTGAGAAGTGGGGTCTAGCACTCCTGAGAAAGGACCATGTTCTCTGGAGTCAGTACTGTGGTCTGCCCTGATCCTCACCTGAGCCAGGCCTGAGTACATGCGCCCCATGGATTTATAGTCCAGGCCTTCGGAGCAGTTCACTACGATCACATACATGCCAAGGGCTTTACCCAGGTCTTTCACAGTCTCTGTTTTCCCTGTGCCAGCAGGGCCTTTGGGAGACCCTCCGCGGTGGAGGTGGAGGGCTGTGGTCAGAGTTATGTAGCACCTGGCATGCAAGAGGAGAGACCACACATCAACCACCTGCTTTCCCATCTGCCCTGGGCCCTCTGCCATGCAGGAGCTCACAAAGCACAGGACTAGGGCAGTTTCACTGTCAGGGATCAAGGTATCACCCTAAAATAGCCAGCAAGCTCTAGGTGTATTCCAGTGCACCGGGCCTGCCAACTGCACCTGGAGCAGCAGAGGCTGGGCATGCCCTGCCTGTACCTGTCAGTGAGTGGTGTGATGACCAAGCGTCCAGAGTTGCCCAGGTACTCGTAGCCATAGGGGAACTGGGTGTTGGTTTGTCTGATGACACAATCGTCCAGATCCTGCCAAGGGAAGGGAGGGGAAATAGAGCTCACTGGGCCACACTGCCATCTCCAAGGAGAGATGAAAAGCGGGGAACAGAGGACATGGTGGAGAGCTCTTCAGGAACCCCAGGCATTGAGACCTGGACTAGGCCTGGCTCCTCCAGCCCCCCAAGGTCAGGACTGTCCCCTACAATCTAGCCCCAGGGAGCTCGGTCTCAACTGATAAGGCTCCCACCAGGGACTGGGCCCTGTCCCTGGTGATGGATGGCAAGGGCAGCCCAGAGGGGAAGAAAACATAGGAGGGGATGAAACAGAGCAGACGCAAATGGCAAGAGTGAGGATGAGAGGTGGCTAATGGCCCAAGCAGAATGGCAAATTGCAGGGCTGCGTCTAGACTGGCAAGATTTTGCACAAAATCTTGCCGTCTGTCTACACTGGCCGCAAGTATTTGCGCAAGAACACTGACTTTGTACTGTACAAAATCAGTGGTTTTTGAGCAAATACTCCGACACTCCCGCTCAGGGATAAGCCCTCTTGCGCAACTGTTCTTGTGCAAGAGGGCCAGTGTAGACAGCCAAGTTAATTTCTTGCGCAAGAGAGCGTCTACACTGGCACGGATGCTTTTGCGCAAAAGCAAATCTTTTGCGCAAAGTCACATGCCAGTATAGACGCTCTCTTGCACAAATACTTTTAACAGAAAAACTTTTCTGTTAAAAGTATTTGCACAAAATCATGCCAATCTAGACGCAGCCCAGGGGTTCACTGGAATTCCAGGTAAGCTGGAGGCAAGTCGTGGTCCCTGAGGCTGAACAGCAGGGGGCAGTGATGTGGATGCAGGTGTATATATCTAGGACAGACTCTGCCCAGTAGGGGGCAGCAAAACCATCTCCCTCATATGCTCTCTCCCCAGGAGGCAGACATCCAACGGCATGGCAGGAGGCAGTGATTGGACAGATTTTGCCCAGCAGGGGCAGCAGAACCAGCTCCACATGTGCCTCATTCAATTAGAGGCCATTCCAGCAGAGGAGTGGGTCTGGGCCTCACCTTGTCCCAGTAGAGGCGGAGTTGGCTCAGCCACTCAAAGGCCGTCACATCCATCAAGCTGCTCTTGTAGAGCTTCTCTATGACATCCCGCGCGTGAATTTCCACCGTCACCAGAGCAACGATTTTCAGGCGCATGATCTTGGTCAGGCTGCCCCGGATGGCCTCTGAGTATTTATTCAGCAAGGACACCTAGCAAGGGAAGTGCCAGTGGTCAGGGGAGCTGAGAACAGTGCGATGGGGAAGCCCACCCACAAGCAGCTAGCACTGGCAGAGAAGTAGGAGAGATGATCTTCAGAGTGCGTGGGATGCCTAAAGATTTAGATGCCTGCAGAGGGAGATCCCCACGGTGTGTCCATTTCATTCAGTTTCTCTCTCCCTATCTGGGCATGAGTGTAAGCAGGTGTGACAAATGCATGTGCACATAAGTGTGGCAAAGTCCTCCGGAAGCATGAGCAAACATACAAGGGTGTGAAGCAATGAACAGTATGTACACATGCACATCTACATATGCGAACCCAGGACTGTCAGTGCCTGCTTGTGAATGTGCTGCACTCTCTCCTTCACCTGCTTCTTTTTCATGACCTTGAGGAATTTCTTGTCCCCTCGTTCCTTGCAGTTGGCCAGGCATTTGGTGACGTCTGCTGTCCACTGGATCTGGCTGGCAGTGATCACCATCTGAAAAAGACCAGCAATGGGGGGAGAGAAGGGCCCTGGTAAATGCCCTACTCCACAGCCCCACAGAGCTGTCAGTTCTGGGGAGCCCCTGCTTGCAGATCTCCATCACCCTAATTCTAGAAGTGACCATTTGTTATGTGTGCCACATCCCTCTTCCTCTGAACAGCTCAACTGCTCTGCACTCCAGGGCACCTTCTCTCCTGCCCAGGGCTCAGCACTTCACGAACGGGGTCAGGGCCACTAGAGCCCTTTTACCCAGGGGAAAACTGAGGCCCAGCAGGGAAAGTGACTAACCCTGTATTACATCCTGCTAGAGCTAGAAATGGAGCCTAGCAGTTCTGATTCCCTAGCGCCTACTCTAACACCTAGGGCTCACTCTCCAGAATCGAGGGACAGAATCGAGGAGTCTTGATTCCCTCGTGCTAGCTTTAATGCCTAGAATCCAGCCCCCGGCTCTTACCCACCAGCCCCCACTCTTCTCCCAGAGCTGGGGAGAGAACCCAGGAGTCCTGGCTCCCAGTAGCCCCCGCCCCGCTCTAACCATTAGCCCCACTCCCCTTAGATCCAGGATGAGAAGTCAGGAATCCCGACATTAAATATTCTGCTCTAAATTCTGAACCCTCCTTCCTGTGTTCAACTGAGTGGCTGGGCTAAGGCTCCCTAAACTCATTTCATGTATGAGCTGAGCCCATGCAATGCATCAAAGGCCTGATCCAACCCACGTCACTAGAAAAACTCCCAATGAATTCAGTGGAGTTGGATCAGCCTCTAAAGCCAATCCATGTGACCCAGAAACCACCCCAAGCTGCTGGCTGATCTGGTACATGGCCCAGCTGCCCTGGGGTGCACTTGTTACCTGTCCAGCCCACTCCTTCACCCACTTGTCCCTTTTCGTCAGCATCTTTTTCAGGGCAAGGCGGCAGTTTCTCAACAGCTCCTTCAGGGTCCAGCGCATGGCCCGCTCTACATCACACAGCCACTCCTGGAAGGCAGGCAGATGGGTGGCTGAGGGTACAGCTACATGCAGGTAGAGATGCGATCATAGCTTGCTCAAGTAGCCCTGGTAGCAGGGTTGTAGCACAAGCTAGCTGCTTGGGCAGTTCACCCCAGCTGGCTGGGAGCTAGCCTGGGTTATGTCCTGTTTGTGATGGCAATTCAGCCAGACTGGGAGGAAGGAGGCATGGTTTGGGACAGGGTTATGAGCTGTCCTAGGCACTGGACTCTGAAGCTCTCTGGAAACAGGGGGATTGACAGAAATGGAAGGGAAATAGGGGGTTCTCTAGAAACACCGTATTGGGTACAACGTAACCTGATTATTTCATGCCAACCTCATTTCCCTGACAAGCAGGAGATGCTGACCAGGGCCTGAAGCCAGGAGGCAGAGGGGATTTCAGGGCCCGAAAAGAGAGAGGGGCTGGCACCTGTTGCCCATTCCCACCTGGATCAGGAAAACTGCCACAGAGTGGACACAGACTCAGGAGGGGGAGTCATTTTGAACTGACCATACCAAAGTTGTGAAACAACAGAAGCTGAGGACAGGTGGTTGCATGGAGAACACAAGGGGGGGAGGAGAGATGTTGCACTGGGAGAAGCCTGTCAATGCTTCTACATGGTGCCTTTCCTACTCACACTCACCACTGCACTTAAGTCCCCATTTCCCCTCCCTTGTGTTCTCCTCTCACTCTTAGCTTCCCCCTCCCTGTGCCTGAAACAGGCAGCAGTTCATGCTGAGTCAGAGAAACCAGTGGGCGCAGGAATGGCTACCCAAAGGCCCAGCTCCCACTGCCCCAAACCGAAGAGCCCTCACCTCCACGGGCCCTTCCAGCAGCACTGAGTGGGCAAATTCCACGTACTCCCCATCCAGGGAGTACATGCCCACAGCTTCAGACTTGTTGCCCATTCCCACCTGAAAAAAAAAAAAAGCAAATGATGTTCCGCCCAGCCCCACACCATCTCCAAGTGCCTCTTGGATTCCCATGCTCCGAATGAAGTGGGCATGAGGATCAGAGAGCCCAAGGGCAGGCTAAAGGGTGGGGAAAGGGCTTGGCATGGCTGTCAAACTTGGCAATGCTGTCAGCTTCCTGTACCAGACCAGAAACTGTCTCCTTCCTCTGTAACCACAAAATTGCTCTCCCCATCCAGAATCCATTTAGCTAGTGATCTCTCATCTGGCATTAAGACTTGGGATGTGAGAAATTAACTGCTGAGGGGTAGAGCAGCTCTCCACCTGCTGCGGGCAGGGGGCTGTTCCAGACCTACAGGGCCTGCCACAGGGGTGCTTCAGCCTAGCTCTCACACCTGGTTAACCAGTACTAAGCAGTATTTTACATCTCTAAGATGCAACCATCCTTGAAATGGGGCACAACAGCTGTTTATCCAGGAATCCCTGGGGGACTCAGGGTAGCTGTTTAAACAGTTAGGTGTTGCAACCTCTGTGAAGAAGCATGATGACTGATACCACTGCACTGTTAAACAGGTGGTTAAGTCAAGAAGCAAAGGAGAAGCCCCTCTTGGTCTGAAAAGTCAGCTGAACGGCATTCCCCATGCTGGGATTTAGCCAATCCCCAGGGCTGAAGGGGGAGTAGGAATCCGAATAAGCAGGAGCTTTTCGGGCAGCTCTATCGACTACGCTATCACCACCACTCCATCACCACCACCGCCTTATGCTCTTAAATGGACAGAGAGGAGCCGGTGTGCATAGACTCTGGCTCAGGACAATCCCCTCCCCACCACTCTGCATTCTGAAAGGGACAGAGCAGTGGCAGCCAGTCCTATGGATCCCAGCATAAGTTCCCCCACCCTCAGTTACCACTCTGCATTTTTAAAGGGACAGAGCAGCGGCAGCTTAAGCTGGGGTTTTCCTGAGACCTGGCAGGGGACCAGAGACTGAGAAAGCGTCTTTGTGCACTGGCTCCTCTCTATCCCTTTAAGAGTGCAGAGCTGGGGGGGAGGGGTTGTGCTGAGTCCTGGAAGGGAGTGCTGTAACTGCCTTTCCCTAACTACTAGTCAACTAGTCGATGGAAATTCCATCGACTTCTCAACTAGCAAATTAATCGCTACTTAACATCCCTAATGGAGAGACGGGTCGTGGGCTCTGTATGCAGCAGGAAGAGGCTGGGCTGGCTCCACACCTTCTGGATTTTGAGGGACTTAATGTTATCGAAGCACTTCTTGAGGTGGGGCTGCACGGCCTCAGGGTTGCGCGACTGGCCCAGGATCTCCAGTAGGTCATCATTGGACAGGAAGTAGAAGCGGGGGAAGATGTGGCGCTTAGTCTCCAGGTACATGTCTAGGGATTTCTGGATTTCCTCCAGGGCACCGTTCATCTCAACCAACTTGTCCAGGAGGCCTGGGGGAAAAGCACCACAGGCCCTTTGACTCCTGCTGGCCCCAACCCAGACAGGTCACAGCAACCTTGCCCCAGAAAGCTCCCACCACCTCCACCCCTTCAGATGCAAGGTCAAGTCCTCGTCCGAGATTGCAGAGTCCCACTTTATTTGCTCACTCTCCCTCCCCTAACTCAGCTTATTCCTACTACCGCTTGCATGGAACAGCCTCCCATTCCCATGAATCCAACACTCCCTGTGGCTCTGAGTCACCCTGTCAGATCATCAGGGTGGCAGCCTGCTGTCTCCTGGCATCTGCCCCAGGTGCAATGAGTCTGATCAGTCTCAGAAAAGGTCATAGAGCCACAGAATAGTAGAACTGGAAGGGACCTCGAGATGTCATTGAGTCCAGTCCCCTGCCCTGCCCCAGAGTGCTGCTATCTTTCACATTGCAAACAGTGGCTTTGCTTTCCATTCTAAAACACAAGGGACTACAAACAAGATCAAGCCTGTTACAGGGGGTTGTTTCACCCTCCTGAGCCCTGCCCCAGCTCCCTACAGCACCGAACCAGATACGGAGCAGATCCCCCTTCAGGAGCTAGAGACAAGAAGAGGCTGCAGTTTGCAGAGGCAGCCCCATGGCAGGGAACAGGGTAGAATGGGAAGAATCAACCAGCTGGTGGTGTGGGGTCTGGAGGGAGGGGAGCATCAGCTACCTGGGTAATGTGTCCCACGCAGAGCATTGTTATCCTTGTTAAGTCTGTCCATGATAATTTTCCAGCTGGTATTGATCTGATCAAAGGAGGCCGATTCCTGGGGCAGCTGCTTTCGGATGTCTTCTCCCAGGAAGATGTTCTGTGGGGGATTGGAATAGAGAGGGCAGGAATATCCCAGGGACAATCTGCCAGGCAGGCTGCTTCCCAGCCCAGAGACAATCATGGGCCAAGCCATTGAATCATGAGCCACAGGTCACTGCATCCTAGGTCACAGCGTCAGCCGCTGTGCTTAGCAACCGAACCCCACAATGGCCTGATCCCTGAGGGAGACCAGGGCTTGTATCAGACCCACAGTGTTGCACAGGGAGAGGGACCCTTCCCCTGACTCACAGGTCCTGGAGACAAAGATCCAAGTGTTGGCTCTGCATGTGAAAGCTCTGCATTGCTAACTGACAGGCAGTGTGGGATAAGGATGTTAAAATGCGGTTAATTGACTAGTTGACAGACACTTCTGCATTCCTCCTTAGAAATGTACAAGAGACCCCACTGGGGCTCTTGTACATTTCAAAGGAGGAATGTGGAACTCTGCATACAGCCCAGGGTCAGCAAAAATCCCGCTGACTCTGGGTGCCTTCTTTGAAATGCACAAGAGTCCCCAGCAGGTGCATTTCAAAGCCATGGAGCCCGGGATCAGCAAGGTGCTCAAAGAGTATGCATGCCACTAGGAGCCCGGGTCAGCTGGGGACTCCCTGCATTCCTCCTTTGAAATGCCAGCGGAGGCTCTTGTGCATTTCAAAGGAGGAATGCGGAAGTGCCTGTTGACTAATCAATGGAAATTCCATCGACTAGTCAATTAACCATATTTTAACATCCTTATCCCATACTATCTGCCAGTCAACAACACAGGAGCTGCCCCAGTAGTCTGCCACCCCAGCTGACCCCGGGCTCCTAGCAGCATGCAGTGTAGAATGGAGGCCGGGGTCAGCGGGGGACTCAGTCTCCCACTGACCCCAGGCTCCATGGTGTTGAAATGCACAAGAGCCCCTGCTGGGGAGGCTTGTGCATTTCAAAGAAGGCACCCACATGCAGCCCGGAGTCAGCGGGACTTCCTGCTGGCCCTTGGCTGTACATGGAGTTCCGCATTCCTCCTTTGAAATGAACAAGAGGCCCAGTGGGGGCTCTTGTACATTTCTAAGGAGGAATGCGGAAGTGCCCGTTGACTAGTCAAAAAACTATCCAATAAGCAAATGCTTATCAGATAGTTGACTAATCGACTAGTCTAACATCCTTACTGTGGGACCCCCCAACTGGTTCCTGGCCAGGAGGTAGAAGGGGCAGTGAAAGCTGCAAACCCAGGTCCTGTCCATCACTAGTGGGGCAGAGACTAGCGAAGGGCAGAGACGCTGGTTGGGGAATTGCTCACCTCCAGGTACATCCACTGCCTCTGCACAGTCAGCACCATCTCTATCACCTCCAGGATGAGCGAGAGGCAGCGCTCCCATCGATCTACCTCCTTCTCAAAGGGCTTGACAAAGCGCGAGGCCTTCATAGTGGAGAGGGAGACCTGGTTATCCTCTAGTGCCTGGAACGCCTCGTCCGTCCCCCTGCAGGAACCAGAAGAGAGACATTGAAAGGCCTGGGCTATGGAGCTCACCCACCAATGGGCCTCCACCTGCCTTTGGGGCACACCATTTGTGGCCCATTCATCCCAGTGCCTCTCTGCAAAAGCTGCCCACAATAGGGCCTGTTAGGGTGGCAGTTCTGCAGCACCTGTCCTGCTGGCACTTCAAATGATGCCCCAAATTCAGCTCCTGTCAGGGCCACAAAAGAAGAAGTTACTCATCTTTAGCAGTAACTGATGTTCTTCAAGAGGAGCATCCCAGTGGGTGCTCCATAGCAGGTGTCGGTGCATTTCAGCACCACAGACCATATTCTTCACAGCAGTGCCTAGGGGGCCATGCATGCATGGAAAGCAGGGCACACGAGCACCATGCAACTTGATCACACATGTGCGGCCACCCTCCCCTCAGTTCCTTCTCTACCCAGAAACCCAGCCTAATTAAAAGGTCTCTGAAGTAGAGGGGAGGAAGGGAGGGTAGTGGAGCACCCCCAGGGACACTCATCTCAAAGAAGAAGAAGTTACTCACCCTGTGAAGTAACGATTGTTCTTCAAGATGTGCCCTGTGGGTGCTCCACTCCTGGTGTCGAGTCCCACCCTGGCACCACAAATCAGAGAGCTATCAGAGCCGTGGTCTGCCAGACCGTGCAGGCGTGGCTGCCTTTGGCGGCGTTCGCAGCTTTGCTCTGTTGCACGTGGTCCGGCCCCGCTCAGTTCCTCTCACCCGCTATCTGAAACTAGAAACATAAAATTCCAGAGCAGGGAGAAAGGGCAGGTCATGGAGCACCCATAGGGCACATCTCGAAGAACAATCATTACTTCACAGGGTGAGTAACTTCTTCTTCGAGTGGCCTCGTGGGTGCTCCATTCCTGGTGACTTTGGAGCAGTACCCAAACATTTGAGGGCTCCAGAATTAAGGTTTTTGGGTACGAGAGAGAACTGCTGTAGCCACCGAGGAATCGGAAGCAAATTGATTTACTACAGTGTGGTGCTTCATAAAGGTAGAGTGGGAGGACCATGTTGCTGCTCGGCAAATGTCTCGAAATGGGACACCTCTTAGAAAGGCTGTAGTAGTGGCTACTGCTCTAGTAGAATGGGCCCTGGGTGGGCAGGAAAGAGGTTTGTTACATATGAAATATCAGGTGGTAATACATGACACTATTAGTCTTGCAATGCGCTGGGAAGTTAAGGGTTGTCCCTTGGAGCGGTCCGCTAGCGACACTATTAGACATTCCGATTTCCTGAACTGCTGCGTTTTTCGATGTAAAACGCTAGTGCCCTCCTTACATCCAGTGTGTGTAATACTGAGTCTTGCCTTGAAGTATGAGGCTTGGGATAGAAACAGGGAAACACAACCGGTTCGTTGATGTGAAAATCCATACAAACTTTCGGAATAAATGCCGGATGAGATCTCAGTGTCACTGACTCTTTAGTAAAGACTGTATAAGGTGGTGATGACACGAACACTGCTATCTCGCTCACTGCGAGTTGATGTAAGGGCAAGCAGAAATAGAAGTTTAGTGATAAGGAGTTGCAATGATATTGTGGCTAAGGATTCAAAGGGGCGAGTCAATGAGTCCAGAACAAAGTCTATGTCCCAGAATGGTGGTGGTGGTGGTGGTGGTTGTGGTGGGTTGAGGTTCATGAGTCCTTTCAGGAACCTCTTTGTGGTGGGGTGAGCAAAAAGGAGAACCCCTCCTCCACACGATGAAATGCACTAATTGCCGCTAAATGCACTCTCAAGGAGGCTATTGCAAGGCCTGTGTCATGAAGATGTAGAATATAATCAAGTATCTGGGATACATTAGTAGCGTGCAGATCCATATTATTACTGTCGCACCAGGCCTTAAATCTGGTCCATTTGGCTAGTTAAGTGGAATCCTTCCTGCTGTGTATTAATACTTGTTTGACTCTTTGTGAGTATGAGTGTTCAGCAGAGTTGAACCAACTAGCATCCATGCCGTGAGGTGGAAGGTTTCGGATGACACAGGGAGCCATTGTCTTGATTCAAGAGGTTTGGGAGAAGAGGAAGAGCATAGGGTATGTCTACACTACCCCCCTAGTTCGAACTAGGGGGGTAGTGTAGACATACCCATACAGTGCTCTGACAGACATCTGGTGGAGTGTTGAATACCAGGGCTGATGTGCCCACACTGGCACTATGAGAATTACTTGAGCCTTTTCTATGGTGACCTTTTCCAGAATCTTGGGTACTAGGACGACCAGGGGAAAAGCGTATAATAATAACGTTCCCCAGTGGCGGAGAAAGGCATCTCCCACAGAATGGCGTCCTATTCCTGCTCTGGAACAATAGTTGGGACACTTGGCGTTGGCTGAAGTCGCGAATAAGTCTATAGTAGGAAATCCCCACCGGATGAAAATACAATGCAGAATGTCTGTGCGAATTTTCCATTCGTGCTCATGGGGAAAACATCTGAGTGAATCCGCAATAGAGTTGTGGATGCCCGGTAGATAGGAGGCCATTAACACGGTGTTGTTGCGGATACACCAGTTCCACAAGCGCATTGTTTCTATATAGCGGGATCGGGATCGAGTGCCTCCCTGTCTGTTCACGTAATACATGGTGGCAATGTTGTCCATGAGGATTCTGGTAGTCGTGTTTCTTATATGGGACTGAAAATGCTGGCACTTGTGTCGTACTGCTCTTAGCTCAAGAACGTTGATATATAAGAGCATCTCCTGAGTGGACCAGCGACCTTGGACAGTGAGGTTATCCATATCCGCTCTCCAATTGGTAAGAGACGCATCCATTGTTATTTGTTTTGACGGTTGTGGGCGATGGAAGGGAATGCCCTTCATGAGGTTGTGTGGCTTGGTCCACCACTGCCGGGATTGTTGCACATGTGGTGGTAGTACCACTACTTTGTGGACGCTGTCTTTCACTGGAGTATAAACTGTGGCCAATCAGTGTTGGAGGCAGCGAAAATGCAACTTTGTGTTTTGAACTACAGTAGTTGAAGCAGCCATGTGCCCCATTGGTTGTAAACAAGCGCGAACGGGAAGCGTTGGAGCATGTGTCAGCGTGTATACAAGGTCTCGAATCGCAGTAAAACGTTCAGTGGGTAAGAAAGCACGTGCTGTCTTCAAATCGAGTCTTGCTCCTATGAAAGTCAGGTCCTGAGTCAGCTCTAGTGAAGACTTTTGCACATTTATGAGGAGACCCAGAGATTTGAAGGTCTGAGAGGCCGTTGTTACCATTTGCCTCGCCTCTGTATATGTTCGTGCTCTGATGAGGCAGTCGTCCAAGTAGGGAAAAATTGTCACTCCTACTCTGCGTAAGTGGGCAGTCACTATCGCTAGGGTTTTGGTGAAGACTCTGAGTGCGCATGCCAAACCAAAAGGCAGTACTCTGTACTGAAAATGGTCTTCCCTTAGTTGGAAGCGGAGGAAACGTCTGTGTGCCACATGGATTGCTATGTGGAAGTAGGCATTCTGCAGGTTGAGGACTGCAAACCAGTCTCCCCTGTTCAACAATGGAATGATAGTATTTAAAGTCACCATCTTGAATCGATGTTTCCGGAGGTAGTGATTTAACTTGCATAGGTCCAAAATGGGTCTCCATCCTCTTGTCTTTTTTGGAGTGAGGAAGTATCAGGAATAAAATCCTTTCCCTCAAAACTGTCTTAGTACCCTCTCTATCACACCGATGTTCAGAAGGCACTGAACTGCTTGTTTCAACAGGTGCTCGTGAGAGGGGTCCCTGAAAAGGAATGGGGTAGGTGAGGTAGTTGGGGGAATGGTGAGAAAGGGAATGGAGAAACCAGATTGTACTACTTCCAGTACCCACTTGTCCGAGGTGATATTGGACCAATGATGGTGGTATGGCTTCAGCCGATGGTGAAAGAACTGGACAGAGTTGAACGTGGGAGTCGTGTTTGCATCCTCGATGGGGAAGTCAAATTTGCTGCTTTGCCACAGATTGATTGGACGAACGATTTATCTGGGGCTGTTTGCATTGAGGATGTTGTCAGAAGCGTTGGTTATCTTGGGCACGTGGTTGTTGTTTATTAAACGTGTAATCAAACCTTCGTTGATAAGGGTAATAATGTTTGCGCCTATAAGGATGTGTGTGCATTCCCAATGTACGTAGAGTAGTATGGGAGTCCTTGCCAAAATGGAGAACCTCATCGGTGTTAGGAGCGAAAAGCTTGTGCTTATCAAAGGGTAGGTCTTCCACCTTATTCTGAAGCTCCCGCGGGGCTCCTGCAGAGGCTAACCAGAAAGACAGTCTCATGGCAACTCCCGTAGCTGTGACTTGTGCGGCTGTATCGGCCACATCCATGGCCATCTGTAAAGTGGTATTACAGTATATGTACCCCTCCGGGACTATGGCCTTCAATAAAGGTTTCTTGGCATCTGGGAAGTGTTGTAGCAACTCCGCCAACTTTGGATAATTGTTGAAATTATGGTTTGAAAGATGGGCCAAATAATTTGCAATACGTAATAACAACGTAGCCGAACAGTGAACTTTACTGCCAAAGATATCTAATTTCTTACTGTCCTTGTCTGACAATGTGTTTTTGTATTGAGGTGCTTTTGCTCTGTGCTGCACCGCATCAACTACCAGGGAGTTGGGTTGAGGATGACTGAAAAGGAAATCCAACCCTTTGGCGGGCACAAAATATTTCCTATCAACCTTTTTACTTGTTGGCGCAACTGATGTCGGGGTCTGCCATATTTCCTCTGCTACTTCCATGATTGCTTCATCAATAGGAAGGGCAATTTTTGCTCGCTGTTGCTGTCGCAGATTCTTCAGGAGATGATGTTGTTTAGTGGGAACAACTGCTAATTGTATTTCTTGTGTGTTTGCAACTCTTTTGAACAGGTCCTGAAACTGTTTCAGGTCAATCAGTAGAGAGATGTTGCCTGGAATCATTGCCTCATCCAGTGAAGAAAAGGTACAATCAGTTGTGGTGAAGATCTTCTGCTTCGGACAATTGGCCTTCTTCTGGTTCCGAGTGTTC